TTTTCTTCTGGACTTTCACTTAGCTTTAATCAGGAATAATCTAAAATATGAAGAATTCTTGGTGTAAAGAAAATTCTTGGAAAGCACAAATTCTTTGAATGAGCAGTAGTGTATAAATAATAACTAAAGCACTAAATAAGTCTCATGAGGGACACAGTGTCATGCAGCTCCCAGTTGTATACCTGCTGCCTTCTAAGTTTCTCAAAGCATTTTGAGAGTAAAATCCACGTCTAGTCACTCTTCCAGGTCCTCTAGTGTAGCGTGAATCATGGTGGTTCAGCTTTTTTGTGGAATAGGGTAAGAGAACTAATAGGGAAAGGCAACATTGCATAATGGGAAAAGTAGGATAATAAATGGCAAGATGCAGTGGTGGAGGGTTTGCAGCACTTGGTGTTCTCTCTTGTAATTTGTTCTCTCTTGTAATATAACATATGTCCAAGATGTTGGTATGGGCATCTGTATGCCCTGCTGCTTGCTTCCAAAGACCTGTTTACTGGCTCAGGTGACAGTAAGCACAAGCCTTAGTGAATGGGTAATTAGGCATAGAGAATGTGTGATTAAGTATAGAGAATGTGTAATTAGGGATACTGTGCCTGCAGCCAAGACTGTTCAGAGATGTAAGCTCTGTAGACTGTAATGACCACGTCATTTTCTTGTTCATCACTTCCATTATGCAGCTGGTCTGAGGAGGAGGTGTTTTATGAAGTGAATGTTGGATACAGTGCAAGTACTTTTTCTGCCATACTGCTCTGGCAGAGGGATTTTATTGCTGTCCCCACTCCAGTGCTGATCCAGTTCCTGTGGTCTGTGGGTCTTTAGTTGTCTTTGCTGCTACACGCCTACCACTGGCACTTAGCTCCTTACTAGTGGTTTATAGAAGTGATGGCACTCACAAGAGGGATGGTGATGCTCTTTATTTGTGGAGTTTTTATCCCCCTTCAGGAGGCTTTGCTGCTGGCAAGGTTTTGCCATCTGTTGCTGTGAGACAGTCATCCCTCTGTGGTCAGGTATCTCATGGTTTATGCTGCTGTGGTAGTGACAGGACAGCTAGCTCTCTCAGGTTCCTCTTGGGGACCAGTTCAAGCCTTCTACGTAATGAGCATCACATAGCCTTTTTTCTTCAAGCTGATACAGAGACTATGAAAGCTCCTCAGCCCTCACTGCTTAACAGCAGCTTAGAGATCCAAAAGTGAATTCCAGACTCAGCCAGGATCTAGCGAATCCTTCTTCAAGACCTTGATGCTGATTTTCCCCCTAATGGTCGCAGCATCTTCCGAGTTCAAGAGAGGAAAGACCTCAAAGATGCAGGGAGCCTGGTGCCATACCCAATCTGTCATGCTGTCTTTGCTTATCAAACCCTCTTAATTTCATAATGAATGTCAGCAGGGTAGAAAGCCCTTTCTACCATGCTGACACAAGTTCATGTTCCTGTGCCACAGTCAGGAGGGGTTTTCTATTTTCTATTTGAAGAAAGCATGTGAAGAACAAGGGTTTGGATTTTAACTGCCACTGGTATAAATGCCCGATGCTTCAGAGAAATCTCTACATATATAACACATGTCTGTGTTCCTTCTTCTTTTCCTCTTCCCCATTTGTCCTGCAGGAGAATTGTATATTCAGTGGGAACAAACTCTTTGGTTTATGGGATTAAGATAAACCCGCTTACTCTGCAGAAACATCCACAAGGATATAAAAGCAGTTTTTAGCCAAGGGGCTGAACACAGTGTACATTAACAAATGGGGAAAAACCCTGTTCCTAGTAGATTATTCTTAATATTTCCAGTGTATAGTTAATGATCCAACTGCTAATCCAGATGAATTGCATCTTTTTTTTTTTTTACTGTGTATCTTTGTATCAGTGAACATATTCTGGCATGGTCAAGGCTTGGCTATACCTCTGCATCTTGGACTATTTTCTACGTGTAATTTTCTCTCAATGCCTTTTTTTTAATCCATTTATGCATTTCTTCAGCCGCCAAATGGTTCTCCTGTGACAGATGCTTTGGTTTTATCCCTTGTATGTCCAGATTTTCCTGGCTGTGCAGCATTTGTCAGCTACTTGCTGCTATTGCTCAAGTAAGCTTGTAGAAAAGTGTAAGAAACTTTTGTGTGTATGTGAACTAAGGAGATAGTGTTCTGCACCATCTTGCTTTTCGTTGTGAAACCCAAGTTTAGAGGCAATTATCTTGGAGACTTGGAGGGGTTCTGTAGACAATACAGTAGTGGGTGTTGCTTGGGTATTAGGTTTGGTACCATAAATAGGCAAATAAATGCTGGGTCTTTTCATTGTCCACTCCCTGGTGCTTGTAGCAGTCCATAAAACATGGTAATTTCTTCCTCACCCCTTGTACTCATGTGCCTACCTACTCGGCATATACACAGTTTATTAAGTTATCTTCTGGAAGGAGGTTGCAGATGAAGACTTTGACTAACTACACTATTCAGTAACAACCAGAAGTTTCCTATAGCAAGAAGCTTTAATGTGGTTGCCAGTATTGTGTTAAACATGTTCCTTTTCAGAGGGTCCTCCAGGTTGCCCACCCACTCAGCCGTATTCAGTCATCTACAATAATGTTATTTCTCTATATGTCCACATCTGTTTTCACTCTGTTGCCAATTGAAATGCAGCTGTATTTTCTCTGTGTATTGTGGCTACTTTCCCAGCACATTGAAAATTTACGCAGTATAAGGGGATTTTACAAGTTCTTGAAAAACATGAAGTATTTTCCCACAGTAGCCACACCGTATAATGTCTACATGAAATGACATCTATTCACAGGATTAAAAAGTGCACCTATATATGACTTACTGCTTCATAGTGCCTTCACAAAGAGATATATAATGCTTTAGCTCCTTTTATCTGAAGCCATCATTTTCTTATGGGGAGCTTTTTCAGTAGCTTCCTATAGGGAACTTCTAAGAGTTAAAGCAGCTAGTGTGCTGAATGTCTGGTGAGCATTCTTTTCCTGACTGCTGGTGTGTTTGGGAAAGTGCTACAAGCAAAACTTCTGATCTGGGGGGTTTTTGATGTGTTCTGTATCTATTGGTAATTGCTGTTGCAGGAAGCTGAAGTCTGAAAGAGCTCCAGTGGTGTTTGAGCACTAGGTTGCTGGAGTAATCCATCGTGTGCTACTTTCAACTGCTTATTTCAGACCTTTCCAAGGATGCTGCTTTGGGGAAACTCTCTCTTAAGATGTCTTAGTATTGAATACCTGAACTTACATGGTTTCTAAAACTGTTTAAATTGGCTAACTCAAATCTGCAATGCTTTATGTCCTGTGTCTTCAGTGTTAGTATTGCATTTTTAAATATCTTGCCTTCAGATCCATAATTATATCAGTTCATGCTACTAATGTCTGCAATCCTCTCCTGTTTCTAAGGGTCACCTCTGTAGCAGCTAAGAAGTTAATGAGTTGCGATTCTGCCCTCCTAGCACAGATAAATCTTCATCAGAGCTTGAGAATTGCCTGTCCTTCCTCCTCAAAGCCTCCATCCTATGCTGAGCATGTAGCAGAATGAGCAGGCTGCTACCTTCAAGGCGGGAGTCCAAGGCTGAGCCAGTGCAGTGTCGGATTTGAACATCTTAAGCTCAGTTCCCGGTCTGACAATCAGCAGTGAACTAGCTGGCCAGAAAAGCTGATCCCAAACTGACAGATGACTTGCTCTCTTAATTTCATTAGCTTCCCCACCAAATTGGAATAGAATGAGAGGGGATGAATAACTTGTCAGCATGTTCTTCTAGAAGTATCTCTTAGTACTCATGCCTTAGACAAATTCCTGTGGCACATCAGGTTTGTATTATCCTCTCCAAATTGCATGAGAGGCAACTGAAGGAGCAAATGCATGGAAAACATAGTGGTAGGTTAGTTTTCCCTTGGAGCAGACATGTTTTCCTAGAATTGGGACGTCATAGTTGCACTGCGCTTCTGTCTTTAATGAGGGCTTCAGTTGTTTTCCAGCCTTGGCAGAGTTGTAGAAGTGCCTGCAATTGCTTTGAAAGTTAGGATTTGATTATAAATACACTTTTCCAAACAAACTGGAAGTCTATCAGCTTCTTCCAGCTTTCCATGCAGTACTGGGGGGGGATCCCAGGGAAATAGCTAAATAAATGGTCTGTTCCAGTGCCTGTACTGGAAGACAGAAAGCAGCCCAGCCTGTCTAGGTACTACAGGCCTGGAGTTCTGTGCATGGATTCTCTTATGATTGTTGTTACAAACTTCCTATCCAAAATCCCACATTTCTTTGAAACCAGCATTGGTTATCTTACAAGTAATAAAGCTGATTAAATCATGGAAATCATCCTAGTTCTGCTATGGAACACTTTGCAGCTTTTTAAGATGGGTCAGGTCTCTTTCCTTAAAAACACCTCTTGGAATGAAAATGTTAAGAATTACACTTGCACAGATTTTGGGAATTAAAAAGAAGTAAGTTTGGGTTATTTGAAATCTGATAGTTCACATTATTTTTATCAGCCTTTAAGGTGCTCTGAGGAGGCTTTTGTATCTCAAAATCCCTTTCTACAATGTTTAACAAGAGTTAATTGGTGAAACGACTGGGTAAGGGAAGGAAAGGTCCAAGAACCCCTTTAAACCTCCGTGTTGGACTTGGCAATTCTGTAATGTTAGTTACTCAGGTGAGGCTGAACTTGGCACCATATGAGCTCCTGGTTTCACCTTTATGTCAGCTGGTCATGTAAATATGGGGGGGAACTGGATTGTTACGAAACACATCTCTAATGGCTCCTTTGGAAATTCTCATTAAGGTTTGTTGACCACAATTTTCACCACTCAACACAGCTTTTATAATGAGAAGTTATAGAAGTCCTAATTCTAATTCTTTGTCTTTTGTGCATCTTTATTGGGGGAGAAAAGATACATTTAAACTTTAAGTACTTTAAGTGTAAGATGTAAAAGTGGAAAGATTGCTGTGTGTGGGTGGGAGTAGTCATGCTCAAGCAGGCAGCCTCGTGCCTAACCCCTGGTTGTTTCCCCTCTTGATAGACTATAGAATCTAACTGGCGATGTGGGAGACACAATTTGCAAAGGATTCAGTGCCGCTCTGAGAACAGCAAAGGTGTCTACTGTTTACAGTATGATGATGAAAAGATCATCAGTGGCCTACGAGATAACTCCATTAAGGTAAACACTTCAGTCTTTTCCCTAGGGATAAGTGGATAATTCTGCCTTGGAAAGCTAGCTGCTTGTGTTGATTACTCATGTCTCTTCATGGGGCAGCATTTATCTGTGCAGGGCTTATGGGGATGGGGTGTCTTCCTGTAGCCTGGCAAAGTTCTTACCTGTGCTTTGCTCTGGAAACTTTGGGGACTGACAGCCAGAGATCAATACCATTGACCACAAAGAAACACTTGTGAAATCAAAGTTCACATAACATGAAGACTGAGTGTGCCACTGTCCTTACCTGTGTCTTTTGTCACTGGTAGTAGTTCACTTTCATGCGAGTAGGCTGCTTTGCACTAACAGTCCACAGCATTTCCTCTTGCAAAACAGGATTTTGTCTTCTCATGATCAGTGGTCAAAAACTTGCATCAAGACTTCCTTAAGCTATAAGGGAGGACAGGCCTGCTGACTAGACAGGCTAACTGGCATGGGATTCTTCCTGCTATCTCTAGTTTACTTCCTTCCTTCACAGTTGCAGCAATGTTCAAGTCTTGGATCCATGTTCTTGGTCTTGATAAGCCATTTATACTTCTTGTTTTTAACAGATTTGGGACAAAACAAGCCTGGAATGTTTGAAAGTATTAACAGGACATACTGGCTCGGTTCTTTGTCTGCAGTATGATGAAAGAGTTATTGTAACTGGATCTTCAGATTCTACAGTGAGGTGAGTGTGAAGCTTTTGCACAAAAATCATGGTTGGGAATATTTACAATAATCTCTAAATAGCAGAAAACATCCCTAATATGAATGGATACTAGTATTCCAAACCGAAGATATTCATACTTGGCAAAGCATCACATTCAATTTTTTTCTTTTTTCCAAATCTGTCTCATTTTTTTAGTGTTAAGAATTTTAAAGGAATATGGCCTGAGTGATTCAAGGCATATCCTGAAGTTGTAGAATGGCTGAAGGCCAACTATACAGTAATTTCTTCATTTAGGGTTTCTTGTACTGCTTTCTGACATCTCTTCATGATGACAGTTAATGAAAGGGTGTTTGTTATAGGTGGAGCACTTCTCTGACTGCAGTTTTGATGATACTGAGTTTCAATTCTTACATTAATTCAGTGGTCAGCAGATGTCCTATATAAAGATACTCAGGTACAGTTCAGTGCTCAGGCCATGTCTCCTGGTGTCTCACATAGGTATACTAATGTAAGTCTCTTTAAAACTGCTCGTAAGTTAGGAGCCGATCTTAACATCCTTCAGGTACTACAAATTAAATAGTGATTTTTCACTTCATGTGAGCAGTAGGTGGTCTTGGAGGGTGATTAATCCCAGTTGTTCCTGGTGGGTATGAAATCTGCATGAATGGTGTAAAGCTGTAACAAACTTCGAATGTGTATTGAATAGTATTTAGTTTGGTCCGTTCCATCAATTTATGCATCATATAAGCTCTAGTCATCCTGGAAGAGTTGTACAATCGTTAAGCAGCTCGCTCTTTTAGCAGTGGACCCAGCTTAGGCATTTCCTGACCTAGTTGTTCACTGCTGATAATTGTTGCTTGTGAGTCTGAGACATGAACTAGGATAATTCCCCAGCACACATCTCCCTGCATTCCCCAAGTCCTAAGAGGTGTTAAACAACCAGAGAGCTCTCCATTAGAGATAGTAGCAGACTTGTGCATATGTACACTTTATTCCATGCATACCCATAAGCCTTCATTTGGAATAAAATGCTTTTCTTTTGCAGAGTTTGGGATGTAAATACAGGTGAAGTCCTGAACACGTTGATTCATCACAACGAAGCAGTGCTTCATTTGAGGTTCAGCAACGGCTTAATGGTGACATGCTCAAAGGACAGATCAATTGCTGTTTGGGATATGGCATCACCTACTGACATCACCCTGCGCCGTGTTTTAGTTGGCCATCGTGCTGCCGTTAACGTGGTAGACTTCGATGACAAGTATATTGTGTCAGCATCAGGTGACAGGACCATTAAAGTAAGTTGGCAGAGCTGTCATGGAGGTCTGCATGTCTACCAGGCCAGAGAGGCTTCTGAGCATTGCTCCACTGCGAAGAGCCAAGGTGTCCATGAGCAGTTCTGTGCCTTTTTTTGTGTTCAGCCAGCTGCTTCCTCTCACTAGCTGCTAATGTCTTTATGCACATAACTACACTCATAACATTTTTGTGGCTTCTGTCATACAATTGCAAAGAAGTAAAGCCTACTTGCTGTTTGAACTCTAGTCTCAGGATCGGTTTGTTTGTTAAATGTGGCACATTTTGTGCCTTTTTCCAAGCAGTATTTTTTATTTCAATTGGCAGTCCTGTTCCAGACATGAAATTTATCAGCAGTGCCTTTCCTCACCACACCTTCCCAGCAACTCCACCAGACTTTGCCATGTTTGAAGAATTAAGAGGCTGTATTTGAAGACTCATACATACCAGAAGATTTGAGATACCCAGAGTGTATTAATATAACAAAGGCATTTCCACCCATCCCTCTGTAGAACCAGAGCTACCTTAGACTATGCCAAAAAGCTGTTGGCAGTTTAATGTCCAAATATCTGGCAGAGATTCTGCTGCACTCTGTGTTGGAAAATGAGCCACTGGATACTCTATGTTACAACTTCAATTACAGTTCATTAGAACTGGGCAAAGTTGATTTGAATCATTTAAACTTAAGAAAGAAGCAGCCACCAAACATTGAGGCCATGGGTTATGCCTTCTCTTCTAGTAGATTGCTACCAATTTCTTTGGCAAAAATGTGGGGGTTTTGTTTATGTGATAATTTCCACTTTTAAAAATTATTACTAACTTATCAAGATTAAAGTGTAATCAAGTTTTTGAAATCATTTCACAGTCTTTACCACCTGAAAATATATGAACTTCTCAACTTTTCTCATTGTCTCGATGTGCAATAGCAGTCCCCATGGCTCTTGTCACTGCCATGTTCTGCTAATGCCAGGTGCCCACTCTTTGCCCATGAAAATACTACATGAGTTTTTATTCCACTGTCCAACAAAGGTCAGCCTCAGCCTCCTTCTGTTTATGAATTCTCCTTCGACTGAAATTCAAACCCCTTGCTTGGGGGTAGTTCTCAGAGGAGCATTTCTCTTGTGTTTCACAGGTCTGGAGTACAAGTACGTGTGAGTTTGTTCGTACTCTGAATGGGCACAAGCGTGGCATTGCATGCCTCCAGTACAGGGATCGACTAGTTGTCAGTGGATCTTCAGACAATACCATTAGGTGGGTGCCCACAAGCTGCCATTGGTATGTAATGGTGTCCACTTGCATGTGTGAAAATAGGATTTCCCCTGACCTTTGGTGCTGTTCTGCACTGCTGCATGTGTGAAACATCCTTGGTATGTCTTGATATGGGAGCAGATGATGTATGAATGAAACTTAACTCAGTGTGGCAGGAAATATATCACATCCCTGTGAAAAAAAGTAGGATGCTGATGTTTATGTCAAAGGTAAACAAAACTTACCTGTCACTGTAGTTTATCACCTTGTCTTCTGCTTGGAGAGATGAGGAAGATGTTGGCTACTGGTTTTCTTTATTTCTTTCTGAACCTCTAATTATGAGTTTATACAGAATAGACAAAAGTACATTAGAGTTTCCCAAGATAACTTGACGTGTATCCAACCTCTACTTGTATGGAATTTTGAGTGAATAAATGAATTTTGATATCCTGCAGCTGCAGCACAAACTTATCTCTGAATTGGGCACAGGGAACATCTCATGGCTCTGATGCCTTTTTAAACAAGTAATGTATATCTCCAGAATATCAGCAGAAATCTGAGTGCTTAAACCCCTTACTGTGAGGCTAAGGGACAGTGCTGAACCTGAAGTACTCAAAGACTTTGTTCTCTCTAGGCTATGGGACATTGAATGCGGTGCCTGTTTAAGAGTATTAGAAGGCCACGAAGAATTGGTTCGATGCATCAGGTTCGACAATAAGAGGATTGTTAGTGGAGCCTATGATGGGTATGTGTTTGAAGCAATTTCAAGCAATTCTGCTTTTCTTAGCAAAACATCTTCTGAAAGGCATTGAGCCTTGTGTTCCCTTGTGAAGGGATCTCTTCTGATTTCACTAATGGATCAATATTAACTGAGTGGCTTCTGCTTGAGCATTTCAACACAGCAGGCTGCAGCTTTAAGTAGCCAAGAAGCTGCTTTTCTGGTGCTCTTTAGCATGCTCTGAAATCGTGTTAGCATTCAAGTTTGACTTTCTGTAGAAAGTAAACTTTTGTTTGGCTGAGGTGACATTCCTTTGTTTTTTTCCTCAGGAATTGCTCTTTGCCAGGTCCTGTGTGCTTAGAGTAGTTCAGACTTTCTATTTTTATAAGACAGCAGCACTGAATGTTTACTCTGAGCATAAATATATCTGAGGGGCTCTCAGATATCTTTAGTGACCTTTTTTGTGGGGTTGAGGGCAGGACCCCCACTGTTAGCACTTCTGACTCAATATTTTCAGTGTGTAGTGGATTCACAACAACTTATATCCATGTCCAAGTTCTCCATTTCTTTTCTCTGCTTGATTTATACTTCCAGTGAATGGCAGAGTTACTGAAAACAATTCTTCAGCTGTTTGTCTCTAGCCTTTTATTTGGGTTTAGTATCTCACTGGGCTTGGCAGTCCCAGCTTAATTCCCACTGGAACTTTGCACCTCATCAGTAGTGCTGTGAGTTTTCAACATCATCTGCAGTTCCAAAATGGCTTGGGCATATATAGTCAATTTGTGTTTCATATAACCAACGCACTTGGTCCATCACAAAGACATCACATGTGCTGCTAAAAAGAAATACAAACCTACCTATGTTTTATGAGATTTAGCCTTAGTGTTTTAGTGAAGTTAGAGTCTAATGATTTGCTTGATCCTGATGAAGTAGCTGTAGTGAAAATATGGCATGCTCTCCATTGCTTTAGATGTTTCTTTTATGCTTAGACTTGAAACGATGCTCTCCTAATGACCTTCTCATTTTACTTTATAGCAAAATTAAAGTTTGGGACTTGCAAGCTGCTCTTGACCCTCGTGCCCCAGCAAGTACATTATGCTTGCGTACGTTAGTGGTATGTAAAACTAATTTATTTGGAGTTATCTGAGATCTCTTTTATGTGTGAGAGGCATGTTACTATGTTATAGTGGGATAGGTGAGAAACTCGTGATGTTTTATAAAGCCTTGGCTGCTGCTTAGTCAAAGAATAAAGAAATTTTTTTTATGTTGTTATATCCTGAGTGATTTGGATCTGAGCTTAAAAGAAAGATTAAGTTTTTTTTCTAGTTTCAGATTCTTGGATACTCTTTAAATCAGCATGACACTATATCAAATCATTCTAGTTCCTGTTGTGTTTCCCTAATATCATTACAGGGCTGGCTTTAAATTTCCTCTTATTAAAAAGGCGGGAGGAATCTTGTGAGCCTTTCCCAAACCTTTCTTCTCATCTCTCAGTTTGGAAGGAAGAAATGGGAAGAGGGAAGGGAGGTCAAATCAGAGGGATTACCACAGGAACTCTAGTCACTTCAGAGGACTATCAGATTTAAGGCTGTTGCTTAAGTTGTATTTTCCTTTGTAATGAGGGTTTTGGTTTATGTCAGTAGACTTAATTAAAAATAGATTGGGGAAGTGAGTTAATTGTTCTTTGCACTGAAATGTGCATAAAATTTTTCTTCAGAAATCAGTTTGACAGGCTAGTAGCAACCCAAAGTTATTGACTGTATGTCATGGTAACTGGCTTATTCAGCACAGCTTGGCCTTTCCAACAGCCAAAGAAGTGGTTAGGTGGCTAGAAATGCTTCTGCCTTTTCTTTCTCTTCAGTAGTCTTTGCATAGAGATAAGATTTAACTATTTTCTTTTCCATGTACATGCAGTGTATTTAGTTTTACTGAAAGAGGTGATTCTGTCCCTTCAGTGGGTGTACTGCAGCTCAGGTTAGTTTGGAGATCACTGACAGCTGCGGTTAGTTCTCCAATGAAGGTAGTGTACTCATTTTAAATCTACTAAAGATGGGTGAGCAGGACAAAAAGAGGAGAACCTTTTCTGGGCCTCTTGGTGCCCTTTTGAGATTCCTTGCAAGAGCTGATGAAGCATGTACTCCTCCACCTCCCATCCTTATGGCAGCAGTCATCTTGCCTAGTAAGTGAGCCATAATGATCCTTCCAGCAGCATGCCCTAGCTGAAGCTGGGATGTGGTACATTAGGGCTGCACTGAACTGGAGTTAGCAGCAGCACTGAATGCAGATGTTATGTAGGAGAAGGAGCCCTGGCAGATTGTCAGTGCCAGCCAATCTTCTAAATTGCTGCTTCTTGATTGACAGGCTGCTTTTGTCTGTAATAATCTCAGCCTCTAAGACTGGCCCCTCAGGGGGAGGCTCAGGGTTTACAGGCACTGGATTTGGAAGCCATGTGAAAAAAGCTTACATAGAAAATCAGCTTTTCTTTACCTTGAGTGTATATAACTAAGGGTTTCTTAACCAGTACACCAGCCTTTGAATACACTGCTCTGTGTCCAGATACACGTGTGAGTACGAATGTAATGGAAACATCACCCTCTTCTTGCCTTGCTAACTGATTTGTGTTGCTCACAGGAACATTCAGGACGTGTCTTTAGACTCCAGTTTGATGAATTTCAGATCATTAGTAGTTCCCATGATGATACAATTCTGATTTGGGATTTCTTAAACGTGCCACCGAGTGCCCAGAATGAGACCCGCTCTCCATCTAGAACATACACTTACATCTCCAGATAACAGTCTGCACTTTACTACCCTCAGAAGGTAAGTCTCCCTCTTTTTATTGGATGTGTTATAAATATCTGAAATTATCACTCTGCCTCCAGGTTGGCTTAGTCAAAACAACAAGCTGACATTTTCCTTAAGAAAACAAAACCTGTTTGTGCCACAAAGACACTATTTAGTCTTTGTATGGTCATGCTTCAGCTCATAAAACTTGTCATGTTTCCTCACCTCCTTCTATAATCCCTCCTGTTCATAATTCGGTGCTTCAGGTATTCTGTGGAAAGTTTTTCTGTATTCACAACATCCTTGGAAATTGAGGAGACTCTGTGGATTGTGCAGGTGTTCCAACTGTCCCATGAAATCAGAGCCTTTTGGAGTTCTTGATGCATCTGCTCTCTGTGTGAAGCTTGGCAATGAGCACTGTAAGGAGTCTCCACTAAACGGAATGTGTGTATGATCTTTGGGCAAATGCTCACCAGAAATGAGCCGTTCTGTGACAACCACAAAGACCAGGGAAAGCTTTCAGAGCAACATGACAACGCAGAGCTGTCAGAAACCAGGCACATGAACTTTGCCTCTTTTGTTTCCGTTTTTCTGCAAGTCAGCTTCATTTAGTTCTTGAAAACTTACCTGGGTAAAAGCTCTGCTGAAGATCTGTTAGGACAGTGCATGCTTTTCCTTATGTCATCTCTATTGCTGCCAACAGTTGCACTTCAAACTATAAATAGCTGTGAAGGTTGGAACTTGGAGACGCAGAATTTGTCTTCCCCAAGCAGAGCAGTTGCCCCTTTCTCTAGTGCCCTGTCTCTGCAAGTGCTGAGACATCCAGCTTCCAAGGAGGTGGAGACACTGCAGCAGTTAGGAGTAATACTGCCCCATCAGGAAGGAGTTATTTTATTTGAAGTGGATAATTAATAGTTTGCTTAAATGTTGTGGGAAAAGCTTTCCCTGTCTGCCTGTAAGCCTGGATTTTCATTATCTGTTTATGGATGGGGCTTGGAGCAGCGTGGTCTAGTGGAAGGTGTCTCTGCCCATGGCAGGGTGTTGCAACTGGATGAGCTTTAAGCTCCCTTTCAACCCAAATCATTATAGGACCCTATCATCCCTGCTGTGGCAATGAGATCCTTGGGGTTTTCCCCTCCTCCTGTAGGATCTCTGGTTCTGGCTAGGAAAAACTTTCCTTCGTGAAGACACACTGCTGCTTTGAGATGCCAGCTCTTACAAATGAGTTCTCTTTCACCTGAATGCATTCCTCAGGAAAGTGTTGGCTGCCTTTCCTGCTAACTGAACTCCTGCTCATATTAAAAAAGGCCAAGTTAACATCATCTCTGGAGATGACACTTGGATCTGTTGGCTTGTTATGTTTCACAGAGGGTCAGATTGAAAACTTGGCCATGGCTAGTCTGAGTTCCCTTTCTTTTCAAACCTGTAATTAATATAATTAGGCCCATGAATAAGGAAGAAGCCTTATGCTATGATGATGAGTTAGTGTGCAGGATCAGCAGTTAATGGAACTTTCCCTTAAAAACCCATTTGAAGAATACTGCTGCCAGGGTTGTTTAGTAAAACTCATGGACTTCCTTATCCTGCCTGCAGTAGGGCAAAAGAAAACTGAAAAGGCAAAACTACTAAAAGCAGTGTTTGTACAGGAGGAGTGAGTGAAAGACACAAATTCCTGGGACATAAATCATAGAATGATTTGGGTTGGAAAGGATCTTAAGATCCATCTAGTTGCAACCCCCTGCCATGGGCAGAGTCGCCTCACACTAGACCATGTTACCCAAGGCCTGTCCAACCTGGCCTTGAAACTAAATCCTGAAACTACTCTAAGAGCCAGGTCCTCCAGTGCTGCTTACCTGTGACTTCCACTTCAGAACTATTTAATTTGATCCAGGATGACATATGTTTGTCCATGTGAGAAGCTTGATGCTGTCACTGATGATGATGTCACCAGGGACTTTGCCCTGCTCCTCTTCAGACAGGTTTCTCTGCCACCTGAGTCCCTACTGAAGTGAACTAATGCTGTGGCAGCTCCAAGGCCTGTTGAGGTTGGATGGTTTTCCCTCTCTATGGAAAGCTTTTTTTCCTCTTTTCTGAGTAATCCCATCTTTTTTATCTTGCCTTTTCAGCCAGATGGAATAGGCTGTGTAAGAAGATGACAATAGTTTTAGGAGCAGTCTCCATCTATGTTCCAGTTCACACACCAGCTCTGTCTTCTGTTAATTTATGAGATAATTAGAGATTGACAAATTCCTTTTCTGGTTTTGTGTTATAAAAACCACAGAAGTTTATTTGGCAGGCTGCTTTGATGAGTTTTGATTTGTGGGAAAGCTACACAAGGCTTGTCTTTAAGCACAAAAGAAACGAGGAGTTGAATAAAGCTGGTATCGATTCACCTGACCAGCCATGTGCTGTTGTCTGTCTTTCCTCTCTTGCCACATGTGGCCACAAGACCCACTGCCACTGAGATTTGTGAAATACAAAATACAGTGAAATACAAAATGCCTTTGGCACGTGTTGTTCTGTTCAAATTCTGCACACTTGACAGTTTTGCACAGCTTAACTCTGACTTGTCCCATGATGCATGACTCAAACCACGCAGACCTCCATATCCTGGGAGTTGTTGGTGTTGGGAATGACAGTCCCTTAATAACTATTTCCTCTATAGGAGAGATGCTGTTGATGTCACTTTTTGACAGGTTTGTCTGACTTCAGAATCCCAAACCCATAAATCTACATAAAATTATGGTCCAACAGCTAATATTTCATTATGACATTTAATGAAACAGTTTTACATGCTTTCAAACCTTACAGTTTTCTGAATTTTGAAGCAGTCCTGTACCCTGTTTTTTACAAGGCTTGCAAGGTTCTGCCTCTTGAAAGTGGATCATTTTTGACAGTCCTGGCAGTTGTCTGCACTAGTTTTATTGCTTTCTGTTGAATTCCTGTTGTTTATTGTAACATGATAAAAATTGTTACCATATGATAGTCTAATATTCTTATATTAAGAATATAAGCTGTGGGCTGGGGGAAGGGAGGTCAAGGGGAAGTGCCTAAAGATGTTTTAACCTTTCGTGGGAATTTCATGTTAGAGGAGGGTAGTTCTCTGTGGTCCATAGAATCAACTAGGTTGGCCTTTAAAGGGTTTTGGGAAGTGGCAGGTAAAAACCAAAGTTCAGATTTAATTACTCTAAGAACTTGCACTGTCTCCAAGATAATAATGGAGCCACGTGGCTGGAAAAGGTAACCAAAATATAAAACTACTGGAGTTTTTTGTCTGTTTTCTTAAAAAATCATGTATTAAAGCAACTGAACTTGCATCCTGAGCAAAATCTGCTCCTCACAGCTGTGTGGAGGTTACTGTTCCAGTAAATAGTGTTCAGTGAGATGGGCTGGTGGTTCACCAGCTAGTCCCCAGGAGGGGTTTTGATCCTTACTACATGTAAGAAAACTGCCAAGCTGTAGGTGACCCCCAAGGACTAGCAAGAGTCTTGGTGTGCTCTTACTTCAAGTGAACTCGGAGTATATTCCACCACAAAGCCATTTGTCCTCTGGAGGTGCACCCCTCCTCAAAGGAAGGACTCCAGCACAGAGGGAACTGTTTAAGGACGAGCACCCCCTAAATGTGTTGTGCTCCTTGCAGGTACCCTTCTAGTTGAGAGTAAAGGATGGAGTGGCCTCACCTCCAGGTGTCTCCACAGGTTGCTTTTTGATTTGTATCTTCTGTCAGTTCAGCTTCTTTTTTTGTCTTTTTCAGGGTTTCAGAGTCTTTGAACTACTGGATTTTTGGCTACTACATGCCTGAAGATGTTGGTTGACAGCTAAAGTCAGAATTGGTTCTAGATGCTGTGTAGATGCAAAGCAGCACAATTCTATATCTAAATTTCTTAATCTTTCCTGCTCTCAGTGGTCATCTCTGAATTTACTGCAAATTCACTGACTTGGAGTAGATGAATTTCAGAAGCCTATCCTTCCCTGCAGTGAGAAATCCAAAGCTTCACATGTAAAGTGTCCGTAGAAACTGAACTCCGATGGCTTGTTTTTCAGAAATAAATCAGAAGTCAAGAAAGGACTTGGCCTAATTTATATTGCTTTGCACTTTTGTCTGACTTTAAAGAATAAGAAACATTCTCCAATGAAATTTGGGTGCCAAACACATACCCAGAATGTACAGAGCTTTGCTTTCAAAGTCACCATTGTCCTTTAGACTTTACTCTCATGACAGATTCAGAGCCCGTTCTGTTTGATAGGAGTGTACGTGGGACTCTTAGAAATATTTCTGAATTGCTCAGTAATATTTTTGGATTACAGTTTACTTGTTTCTGCACCAATAATTTCTTTTAAATTAAAGATTCCCTGTAATTCAGGCTAGGTTATCTAAACTAGTTGTATAGCACTGTCTTTTCCTTTTAACTGTGCTCTGTACTACAGCCGTCCTACGCTTCCTAATGTTTGGTATAGTAAAACCTTCCCATGTGTGCTTGCCTCATTTCCAATACTGTATAAGCATGTAGATATAATGTACATACCAGTGGAACCTCCGGGTGCTGGGGTCAGGGTTGCCTGACACTACACACTAACACAAGAAGTGGTAGCACTTGGCAGCAGGATGTTCTAACTACTGGCACTGTAGGGGTTCATCTGAGTCACCCAGAGGTTTTCTCTGCAAAAAGGAGGTTTTCAGTATTCATTAGGGTTGTTTTTTTGTTTTTTGTTTTTGTTTTTTTATGGGAACTACATATTTTAAAATGTAATTTCTAAACTTTTTAAAAATTAAACAAAAAAAAGTTTAATTTATGTTCTGTATCTTATTTTTGTGCCGCGCTACGTCCAGGTGTGTGTAACAGCAGCAGGTCCCCGCAGCCGCCTGCTCACATCCCTCAGCGTCGGTTGGGCTGCTCAGTGGAGAAGATGCCATGGGCCAAAGTTCAATTTATTTATATGTGATCTGTAACACTTCCTCATGGTGGAGTGGAGGCTCCCTTCAAGTCAGTGCTGTGCTTACCACGCTGATTGCTGTGCTAGTAATGACCCTGCTGGTTTTCTCTTCCATAGCTGTCCGCTGGTGCCAGGTCCTGGTCGTGGCTCTTCCTCGTTCATGCTTTTCTTAGGAAGTCTCAGTAGTTTCTTCTTCTGTTGTCATGGTCTCTCCTCATTTATGTGCTCACAGAAACGCTGCTGCATTTTTCTTATGTCAGAGCAAGACATGGATAAATGCAAACATGGATATTTTACCTGCATTACCCACATGACTCTGCCTCGGGGTGGCTTTTCCTTCATGCTTCACTCGAGCTCAGCGTGGAACCCACCTCTTCTCCCGGGGAAGACGTGCTGGTACAGAAATGTACTGTCATTCCTCTCTCTGATTGTTTGTACGTCGTGTGTGTGTTGTCCTCTGGCAGCACTGTCTTGGGTTTGCATATTCCCCTGTTCTGACCAGGTTAGGGGTGTCTGATGGTGTTCCCGATGGGACAGCCATGGTCAGACACATCGTTTCCGTGTCCCCTGAACTCAGAGAACGCGTACGTCAAGGTGTTACCGTTACAGAACTGCAGCTTCAGGTTATCTCCTCCTCACCCTTCACACTGAGGGAGGTGTTGTGGGATCAGTGTTTGAGTTAAGCTCCCATTTACTTACTACAACAATAATTATTTCATCAAGATGACCGAATCTGATGAAGTACAGAAAAGTAAAAACCTGCTCCTAAGCAGCTGTAAGATCACTCTGTGGTAAGCTTGGCAGTAGTGCGTGCAAGTGTCTTACTTTACCCTTCTCATCTAATAGCTTTAATATCAAACTGTTTAAAAGCAACCAACCTGTTGCAGCCCTGAAGAAAAAGGTATTTGCTTCCCAAGAGCGAAGTCCTTTTTTAAATGCATGTGTAAGATTTAAATTCCTCTTTTTCCTTGGGAGATAATGGTATTTGGACATGCAGTCTGACCTCCTTTGTGCTTCATGTAACACAGCAGTGGACTTTGTGATTGGCACCCAAGGAACTTGACTCCTGGGATTAATGGTAGTGATCCTGGCTGCACTCTGGACTTTGTTTTGCTAACCATAACTGAGCAACTGTACATTACTGCTATATTAATGTTTCAAAGCACTGGGATAGTCGAATTCTAACTTGTAATTATGTTTGCCAATTATCTGTTTGGAAAGTTGGTGTATGAACAGCTTCTTGGAACTGTTAAATTGTACAGATATCGTTCATGACCTAAAGCTTTGTACTGTGGAATGTGCTTAATAAAAAAAAAAAAAGCCAATGAAGAAGTTTGAACTTAAATTTGTCAAATAAATGTGTAAGTAACAGCATCACCCGGGGTCGGCATCCGCCTTCCTTCATGCACACTCAGCCGGAGCTCGCGTGGGTAAGTGTTCTCCTGGGGGTGCCAGGCGAAAGCGTTCTGAGTCCAAATTGTGCCTGCAGCAGCCCAGCTCCACGCTTTGGCGTGGCGTGTGTGGTGCTCAGGTGGTGTTTGAGCTGTCCCTGTACTGCAGTGCATGCCTAGGGAGGAGCCGGTGGAAAACGGCGCTGAGCTGGGTTGCCCATCCCAGAGGCACCGCACGGCTCCGCTTTGCCGCAGTGCTTCCACATCACACGTCAGCAGAAACACCACGAGAGGATTTCTTCTTCCTTGATCAAGGGTGTAGACAGAATTCGTGAAGTATCACCTGTTTCCTTGGGTGCTGAAGCAGTGTGTGTGTGTGTGTGTGTGTGTGCAGAGAAGGGATCTTCACTGCTAATTCTGCCTCAAGAAGGCAGCAGCTCCAGGGAGACCTTAGAGCAGCTCCCAGTGCCTAGGGGGGCTTTGGACAAGGGCCTGTAGGGACAGGACAAGGGGAATGGCTTTAACCTGCCAGAGGGGAGATTGAGATGAGCTCTGAGGCAGAAGCTCTTCCCTGTGAGGGTGCTGAGGCGCTGGCACAGGGTGCCCAGAGAAGCTGTGGCTGCCCCAGCCTTGGCAGTGTTCAAGGCCAGGTTGGACACAGGCTCTAGGGGAAGGTGCCCCTGCCTATAGCATGGGGTTGGAGCTGGATGAGCTTTGAGGTCCCTTCCAACCCAAACCAGACTGGGATTCTGTCACCTGAAGCAGGCTGGGCCACTGTACTTGGGCTGTGACTCCCTGGCAAGAAGGTTTGGTTGTGGCCCTCCTGGCTCTGGTTTCCCTGTGTCTGTGCGTGCAGGAAGGTCCCATTTGTCTTTTCACGGTGTCAGCACTGCGAGGTCACAGCTTCACAGCTCCAGTGGAGGATGTGGCTCAGGCTGGTGGGGTCAGAGCCCTGTTGATGAGCCCAGTTGGGTACAATTGCACCTTGGTCAAACTGATCAGTGTGGTTGGAGGTGGGGTGTGATGTGGGGAGGCTGATCGTGCCCATCTCCTGCCATGGGGCAGCAGCTCCAGGGAATGGGGGTTTCAGGTGCTGGCTCTCGGCCCACAGCTGTGCAGACACCAAACCTCTGCACAGGCTGGAACTGGGAGCACTCAGCTTTTAGTCTGGTGAGAAGACAACAGGCCTGTCCTGAAGCCCTTCCAGTTCCTCAGGTAAGCTGGAGGGTGAGTTACACGTGTTTCTGGAATGGCTCTTTCTGGCTACGTGTGTATGAACTGGTACGAGCTGCAGCCTCGTATTGAGCAGTGTAAGGACACGCCACAGTCACGAGGTTTTGTTCACTGAATACTTCTTTAAGAACTTGTTGGAGCTCGTGGCTGCCTCCAGGTGAGCTGTTTGCTGAGCTCCACATCCCCTGCAGCTCACTGCGCTGGGGCCAGACTGGACCCTCTGTGAGCTCAGCCCCATCCATGTGCTGCTGCACTTCTCCATGTTTTACTCCATGTTGCCTCGGGCCGTTGCTGTGGCTTTTATGCTGTAGCAGGATGGTACCTGCAGCACTGAGTGGGAACTGTAGGAATACTGATGGGAGCAGGAACTGGTTGTCAGCAGCAAGGTGAGTCTGGAAGTACTTTGCTCTTACAAAGAACTATTTTGAAGGGTCTGTTATCTCATGGCTCAATTAAAGAAGCAGCTTGAATAACCTGCTGGAGCGAGGCCAGAGGAGGCCACAGAGCTGCTGCGAGGGCTGGAGCAGCTCTCCTCTGGAGCCAGGCTGAGAGAGCTGGGCTGGGTCAGCTGGAGAAGAGAAGGCTCCTGAAGGGGACACCTTAGAGCAGCTCCAGTGCCCAAAAGGGGCTGCAGGAAACCTGGAGAGGGGCTTTGGACAAGGGCCTGTAGGGACAGGACAAGGGGAATGGCTTTAACCTGCCAGAGGGGAGATTGAGATGAGCTCTTGGGCAGAAGAACCCTACCCATTCTATGATGTGGGCCATGCCCATCCCCTGTCTCTCAGCTGGAGGAGGTGACCTGTTGGCCTGGGCTTCATCTTGGCTGCACCCATGGGAAGATGCTCCTCCAGCTGCTCCCCGACCCTCTCCATGCTCACCACAGTGCTGCTTCTTCCCTGCAGGTGAAGAGTAACAGGGACAAGAGGTCTCAAATAGATTCAACATTACATCTTCTGGGTTTTTTTCTCATTGTTTTTTAACAGCTTTAGTGAAATGGCTGTTGCTGTGGAAGAGAGCTTGTGGGAAATAGGTTTCTCTAATACGGCTGGTGAACAAAACCCAAACAAAAGCTGTAGAGAGATTCCAGAATGGGAACCTTTCAGCTGGAAGGGAATCCTGGGGCTGCTGCAGCCGGAGCCTTCATGCAGCTCCTGATGTGGCACCTTTCCACCTGAGAGAGGCAAGTGTCCCATGGGAGCCACCTGCTCCATGTGGAAAGCAAGTTCCAGGACTGAGTTCTCAGCACTTTTCCAAGAGTGAGTCAACGTTCATGCCCTCGACACCTGTATTTTTACATCACCAACCACAATATCCCATTGGATCAAGATCAAGGCCTTAGTCCTGCTTTTCAAGGTGTGTAATGGTCTGGGCTATGGATTTCTGACAGCCAAAAGCTTCCAGCCTGAATTAAGCAGCACAGCATCGCTGGCAGTGGGGGTGGTAAAATGTGTCCATGCAGGACATGGACCTTCCCCTGCACTGCAGCAAGAGTCTGGGGGGCGCCCAGGAGCAGGGGGGTGCCATGGACACTGCTCCATCCTTCTGAGTGCCGCAGGGAGCCTCGGGACCAGCTTCTCCTAAAGAAAGATCATAGTAATGACTCAAAAAACAAGTTCAGGACAGATCCTCTTTTCCGTCTCACCCCAACAGTGCTTTTTCCTGACAATCCCAGGCCAGACCTAAGCCACAGGAGCTCAGCTCTCCCTTGGATGTGCTGCTCCACCAGCAGCATGGAGAGGAAAAGCTCCACGTGTCACATGGCTTTGAGCACGGTTGGAACAGGCTGTGGCCACTGCTGCCGTTTAAAGCCACCCTGGGGGA